CTCCGCGGCATCTCGCCACTTTAAATGATATAGATCTTCTTTTGTTTATTTCACCTTTTTGCATTGTTCATAATCTTTTTTTGTACGGGATTCCGGCGGATGGACTTTTTTCCATTACTTCCATTCATATCTATGTAGGTAATTAAGATCAAAAATAAACAAGTTAGAAGGAACAAAACATGTGCAAAAAAAAAGAAAAATCAACAAATTTTTAGTAGTTTATTATAAAATATGTATTTTAAACTTACTCTTGTCCGACGGAAATTTCAAACAAAATAGATTGTCAATGAACAATTTAAGAAAGTGGCGAGATGCCGCGAAGTAGTTCAGTGTGTGATGACCAGCATCACAAAAAACAATCTAGTACTAAAGTTATCAACGCATATATATACACGGGTACCGACTTTAAACTTTCTCTTGTTCATCACTGACTGTATATGTGCGAAAACACACAATTTTGAAAATGAGAACAATTTATACCTTTGAACATGGTATCCGTTGATTTACCCAAATCCGCACTGATGGTGCAGACTTTCACTTTGGAAGGTATACTTTTTGCAACCTCCTGCAACGCATCCTTATTCCTCGCTAATAAAAGCACGCGCGAGCCCTCCTCCAGCATCGAGCCAAATGTTATTGCGATCTGGCGACCGATACCGCGACTCGCACCAGTTACTATCATGAAAACTCTGCCGGATAACGCCTTGACCGACATGGTGTCTTACGTTGCAAATTTATTTGGCGACTAATTGGTGCCCTCCGGCTTGTGCTCTGTTGGCGATTGGTTTGTATTTGGCAGCTCCTTCGTAATTTCTTGTTCCTGTTCGGCTTGCACAGTCGCCTGAAGTACGTCTGCTTTCAAGAGATGAACCAACTCGCTGGCCGTTAAAGCCTACAGAAAAACAATAAGTTTATACATAATCATCTTTGAAAAATTATTCTACTTTAAAACATATAGTATATGTTATATTATATTATCTTAAAACATATATATGTGTTGTATTATATTATATTAATGTAGGGGAGACCAGGGTTGGTTGATACATTCAAAATTGCTGCAAATGAACAAACGGTAATATTATATAAAAAATATTGTGTTTCTGCAAAAATATTGCAGTCATGCAATAAGATATTTTGGACTGAATAGCATATTTTCGGAAATAAAAAAATAATTTCAGATTTTGATAGCCAAAAATAAAACAAATCAGTGATATATTAAATGTTATATTTATAAATCTGCTTATTATATATTATAATTCCAACTAATTTTTAGAAAAATTCATTAAAAAAACTATCAACCAGCCCCGGTCTCCACTACCTATATTACTGTTTAGAGAAGTGTATTGAGGAGATAAGTTTATTAAGTCCATAGATTTCGATTTGCGGTGATTACTTTATTTTAATCGGAAAGACCGCAATGCTCGCACAATGATTGTCGACCGATTCGATTTTCGCGGAAGGCACGTGTCTGTATCGAGAATTAACGGCTTGATTCGGTGATAGCAGCTAGTGCGGCATCAGCTGATTCGGTATACCGAAAATAAAGATATGTACACTGAGAAAAAAAATTTGTCGAAAAACGCAAAATTTGTTTCATTTTACCATAACATTTAGTCCGATACGTTCGACTAAACGTTACTACGATGACACAAAATAATTTGTTACTATTATAAACAAAATACTATTTTTTAACTATTTTGTTTCAACAAAAATTGATCGCATTCAATTCAACCGTTCTATTAAAAATACACACTATTTATTACTGTCTCTTATACACAT